TCATGTCTTTCAGCAAATATTTATGATGCTGAATTAAAATGACAAAAAGATATTTGTTTTCTCAATTTCTTTTGCACATAGAACTTAAATAGTGGCTAGAAAGTGACCATTTCAAATTATAAATGAAAACTGTATTTTTATTAAATGTGAAACATGTACCCAAGAAAACCTTTATACATTTTTATGGCAAGTTTTCCCATTACATGAGAGGCTTCCTCACATATTTTAAGCTTAAATGAAGAACAGAACCAAACAGAAGTTTGGACTAACATTGCAATGCCATTAGCTATGTTGAGGGAAACTATGACTGCACAATTTAAAACAAGATGAAGGACAAGTTCACAAAAATAGTTCATGTAATAGTGAACAATGCTCTAACAAAATAAGAAACAGAAGAAAGCCAAATCTGTTCCATATATCAATACATAAACATGCTCCTGCACTTGTATAATCTTTAAAAAAATAAAAATGAAATGAAATAAAATAAAATGTCTATTTAGGGAAGACTTAATTTGAGCTTCTAGACTGTCCACACTCAAACACTATTTAAGCATATCAGCAGTCCAACTGTTCTGAAAAAACTACCTGTGTTCTTAAAATATGCTTAAAATTAAACACATATAGGTTTTATTTCAAACAAATGTGAATGTGTTTCAACGTGCTGAGTAGATGATCCACTTATGTACTCTAAATTCGTTGTCATAATTTGTTTCCAAGATGACAGCACTGGCAGATAATTTGCATGCATGCATTCAAAGCAACATTTTAGATCAGTTTAGGACTTTTTCTCTCAGTTTTTCAAGTTGAAGCATCATTTTTAAAATTTCAACACACCTTTTGTGTTTTAGTGAATACATTTGCCAATAAAATCACACTTCGAATACACTATTTTGTCCATTTCAGGGTGAAATCTTGCAAACAATGAGCTTATGCTAGTGGTTTCATCAAAATTTCAGGAGGACAACTGGTATGAACAACAGTTTGTAGGACGGAGCCAATAATGTCTGGAAAGCAGAGGAAGCCGCACACAAATTTTAAATCTATCTATCTCATTTGTATTTGACTGTACTGATTTTTTATAGCTGTTTCATACTATTAAATCCTGAATTAGATCCTTAGTGTGATCAGTTTGCTTGAAGAGAAATGAGCTGTCACTGTAGTAAGAGATTTTTGTTTTTTATTTGAAATATGTGCTTCATCAAAGTCCCCATCCCTGGGGTCCACCCAAACCCAAGTCTGTTTGGAGCAGGAGCCCTGCATCATCTCTTACAGTGAAATAAAGAAAACTAATTTTACCTGTACTGATCATTTTTAATCATTAAACCCTATTTTAAGATATTCTCCAAATGCAAATGTATAGGGTCAAATCTTGAAGAATTCAGCCCATATTTAGCAACAACAACAACAAAGAACCAGACATGTCTAGGAGCAGGAGATAATATTAAAAACAATTAACTGATCTGAGAAATAGAAATCAATGCAACATTTATCAGCTGAAAATTCATTTTAATTAGTAAAAGAAAAAAAGAATAAAATGTACAACACTGAATACTGTAACAGCTGGTTTCTCATTAAATTACCCATCTAATTCCAAATCCTCTTTACGTGCAGTATTTCATTTGCTAACCACAGAACAGGGGAAAATTCAAATGATTTTTAGCCAGTTCAAGCAGCTATCCCTCTGATGCAGGGATTCTAAATTGCTATCCATAAAAAAGTAAGCTCCGCTCACTTCCTATTTTGAATTATTTAAATTAATCAGTCTACATACTTTCCGTTTTGTTTTAAAGGGAGAGAGATGGCTGCATGTCTTCACATGATTAGTCATGGGATATGGTGCTTTTAACATTATATTTTGTCCATCAAAATGGGAGTAGGCCAGTAAGTCTGGCAGTTGTTGTTGTATACATAGCACATAGGTGATCTAGGCTCTAATCAGAAAGCTTCTAAATAAGAATTGGCAATCGTGGCATTCAGCAGATTGAATGGTAACTTACTGATCTGGACGCTGACCTGTTCTGGCACTTGGAAAAGGCAGTCACTCCTAGTGAAGCTTGGGGCACAGTCTATTGGACACCGAAAGCTATGTCAAAGACTAGACTCAAGGTTATTTTAATGTCTTTCTCATGCACCAAATTCACTCTGCAATGAAGTGGGAGGAGAACATTGTGTTCAACTGCAGGTCTTCCACATGCCCAAGCAATTAATAAAATAATGCAAGCTATACATACAACTACAATGTATGTTTTTAATGCATGTCAGGCCACATGTTTTAGTTGTGATTCATACAACTTTCTGCTCACCTCACCCCCTTGTTCTTGTCTCTACAAGACTTACATATGGAAATAAAATCCAGTATGAATACTCCTTTTCATGGGTTTATGTGGCAAATAAAATACTTGTTTCACTAAAGTGCATCAGAACTTCAGGTGATTTCTACACAGCCAGAATTTTTGCCAGAGTTCTTACAGTAAGAGATCCACTATTCTGCTATGTCTGCTTCTTCTAAAGCTTTAATCACTTCTGTTTTAAAAAGCCTTACTTTAATTTTTCTTGAAAGACCCATTTAGAGGATCGTGATCTATTTATTTCTATATTAAAGAGAGAAATCTATCTAAAACCTCACTGTGAAAAAACTATCCTGCACCACTTACATATTTCTCCCAGAGCTGGACAAGTTCTGATATTATCAATAATGCTGTTGCATAAGCACAGAAGCAGTTACATTGATACCTAGTGCAATAACAGAAATATAATTGGGAGTAAAAACTTACTGCTTGCAAATATTTTTTTTTTCTATACTAATACTCCTATATATGACAAAATCCTGTAAGGGTTTATAGGCAAAAGAAAGAAAACAAATGAACAAACAAAAGGTCTTATACAAATTAAAAAAAGTAAAGGAATACTCATAGTAGGGTCAATATTTAGCATGTAAGATTGTTTTCTATGGTTCAGCTGCAGAATCCAGGTATGGTTATGATCACCCAATCTTACCAACACACATGTATATCACTTTTTACCGATGTATGTAAGCACAGGTTCATTCCCTACAGAAGGCAAGATGATTAGGTTTACCTATATCTGATAAAATTACTGGTAAGATATGCACTGAGCATTCAAGCAGATCTCCCAAATATAAGACTTTGCAAACTTGCACATATTTATCCCACTGCTCTGTGGGGCTACCTAGGTATGAAAAGTGCTGGACCTATGCAGTAATGTGCAATATCAGGGCCCAGAATGACAGCCTACAAGAAGCAGGGCTCAACACTGCTCCTCTTAAAGCCAGCAACATTTTTGCTGAGATTAATATTGCAAGATCATTGCAACCACATTTAATTAAATATAAATGTTTCGAAAAGAAAATGGAAAAGAGGAAACAAAGATATGCTAGGAGTGAGAAAAATTACATAGAGGGACTTCAAAAGAAGAAAAATTATGCACCTGAAAGGAGTACTTAAATTAGGGTAGAATATTTTGATGGTAATATCCAATATGTATTGGCAGTTCCATTTAAAGGGGCTCTTATTTTTGTACTCTTATTTGCACAGTTTTTAATTTAATGATCCTACTTTTTCCTTAACAGGTGTCTATAAGCTAAAATATTGCAGAAGTCAAATTCAAAAAGAACAGAATTTCAGTTTCTAATTGATACTAAACCCTGCTTCTGCCTAATTTTGGCAGAGCGAGAAACTCCAGAGGCTGCATGCAGGCTGTCACATGAGAGGGCCCTCAGCGGTGGCATCAAGGCAACTTGCCACGTGGCCCCTTGCCACGCTACATGTTTGCAGGAGGGCCCTGGCTTGGCTTGGACAGTGCAGGGTGTTTCCCTAGGGACACAACAGAGCCAGGACACACTTGCAGATTGAGAGCTCACTCAGGGGCACACTTACCTGGTATGTGAATGGGCTCATCTACCTTAGTCCGGTTGCAGTGACATTGTATGACTGAAACCGGGCGGAAAAGAGTCCTGAGGTCCTTCTTAGAAGGCTATGAACAGGGATAACATACATGCCAAATGAAGGCTGCGAGGACACCTGAACTTTGCACCATTCGTGAAAGAAGCTGGAGTGTACTGGGGACATTGCCACTGACATCAGTGGGATGACAGCCAAGGCCAGGATCTCAGGAATTGAGACCTGATTTTGTCTTTTTATAATCAAATCACTAGTAGGGGCTTCTGTCATGTCTTAAAACATCAACAAATTGTTTTCCAATGATATGCAAATGAATTCAACCTTTGCAATGACTGAGAACAGTCAAAAAACCCACATAAGGATTATTAGTTTATGATTACAACAGCTCAAAGTAGTTATTCTTAATAAAATTAATGTTACCAAAATCTTTGTAACATAATTTTAAAGTATGTGTCTGTCTCCAAGAGTTTCATTTTTGAATATTCCTAGCAAGAGAATAAAAACCATTATATCTTTTTATTTTCATATATATATTATATATAAAAATAAAAATGAGTGAAGAGATTGTAGTACTCCCTATTACATTCTGTTGTGTGCATCTAATTTTAGTTTAGTCACTCTGGCCTCACAGTGCTGACCATCTAACTTTTGACTGCTACACAATTGCAAACTTTTGTTTTCTTTGGGGGGAGCTGGATGTCATTAGAAACTAAATTTACTGCTATACGTGTTTTTGAGCTATGCTGAAGGAGACTGAGGACTGCTTCAAGAAGCTTTTTTTTAGGGCCATATGCCTTTCCTCAGTTTTTTTCCCAAGCTTCTATGTCCAATACCTACTTAAAAAAAAGGCTTAGAGATTTGCTTCCTTTCAATCTGTGGCAAAAGATGGGACCTTCACAAGACTAGCAGCCATCAAATGTTCACACAGTCATTCTGGTTCACAGAAATGGCTGCTTACTGGAAAGTTTTGGGCAATTCATACTAATAAAACCTAGTAAAAATACATAATGGAAGTACCAGGGTGATCTGAGTCTCCACTTGGCTTGGGAGGTGCTCTTCATAATCAGGACACTAGATTGTTATGATTCAGCTGCGAATCATTAAAAAAGGGGAAACATAATGGCAAATTGTTAGAAAAGGTTTCAGTAATAAGGACTCTACTGTATTTCCACTAACTATCACTCCTATGGAAGATCATGCTAAATAGAAAACTCTTTTCCAAGGGCAGAAGAAGCCCTGACACTTTATTGCTAGATTCTATAGCAATTGGAGCTCACTTACAGTAACCTTATAGTATTCTATATAATCTGAGAAGCTTGTATCAAATTCAGGCTTCCATTTAAAATAGATATTGTAGATATTAGGCTTCAATTAAAGAAGAAAAATAACCTTCAGTGCTTTTTTTTTTAAAGGCAAAGTATAAAAAAAAATCACCAAACTAGATGAGAATTATTAAATTTCTCCAAAAAATTAAGATGAGCTTTCTTCTATTTCTTGAGACAGTACAGTTTGTGATTGACAGGGTAACTGGTATCAAACACAAGTTAATGAAAGCTCTTATAAGCAATTTTATTCCTATTCATAATGGCAGACATTTACAAAATCAGAAGAATTTATCATTTGAGTTCACCTTAAAAAATAACTTATAAAGCAGTGATATATGTAACATAAAACAGTTCAGGAGGGGAGAGGGAAAGCAAATTTTAATAATTAAAATGTAAATGTGAAAAAAAGATGGAATAGAAGTCCCTACTTTTCATTTCTACTTAAGATGCCATGTGATAATATTTTACAATGTCCCGCAGGCCTATATATGTATGTGTGTATTTCCATATCACACACATACACCAACTCATACATGTACATACACAGATAATTGTTTGCAGTTCCATCTTGGGCAGTTCTGTTACGCCACTCTTTACAGTTATCTCAATCATGTTTGGGACCCACTTTCTTGACAAAACTGGGGAGATGGTAGGAAAAAAAATGTGGGTCTGATTGTATCTATTGTATCTGAGATCCTTTTGTTAAACTGTACATGGGGACGAATAATTTTCTTCTGTAGTAGCTCTCTGAAGAGGGCCAACTCACTGTGGTCTTCATGAGGAGACTTGATAACGGATCACACACTCATTGTCATGCTAGGGGAGTACTGAAAAAAGAGGAATCCACATTTTAAGAACAGTTCTTTCCCAGCTTTCATTTCAACCAGTTCTGGAGCACAGCAAGTAGTTTAAATAATGCCAATATGCTATTCGAATTTTCTCCTTAATTTGTACTAGAGCATATGCTAAGGCTGTAGTTCAATTTGTGGTATCATAACTTCTGTTATACTTCTCTCCTTAGGTAAAAATACAGCTATTGGTGATGAGATCAATTCACTTGAATTCAGCTTCAGTACTGGGTACTGCAGCCTGGGTGTTGGGGTAAAAGAGTATTTCACTGATGCTTTTCACACCTTTAACTTGTTGACTACTGGGAGAATTTAGTTGAGAAAATAGCTAATCTCAGGTTGACATCTGCAGTTACTTGAGCCACTTAACTATTTTGGAGAAAAAGGGAGTGAATATATATCTCTCTCGAATTAAAACAGGCTTAAAACAGGTTTTAAATTCTGCATGATAGACTTTAGGAGGCAAGCTGAATCAAGCATCAGTGGTCATTCTTCTTTATGTGAACTGAAAATACAGTTACCACATTACACTATTATTGTAACACAAATTGAACTGTGGCTCTTAAACAAGCTACAGTTGTCCTCATGTTAGGAATACTTCATTACCAATAATAAATGGGACACCACAATGTACATTTATACCATTTCAATTCTTATTTTAATTGAAATTTGCAGGTTGCAGAAATATTTAATTGGCCTGAAATCTTCTAAGTAGAGGAAAATGGTCAAATACAAAAAGTATTGATTACATTCATAAGTGTGATGAAAACTGATACAAGAAACAGAATGATACCAATTTGTCTTTTCAAAAGACAGATACGTAACAAGAAACTGCCAAAGCTAGAGTTTGGAGCTGGCCATGTCTAAGTGTCCAAGCATACGCAGAAAGCATTTTAGACCGATCTTCTCTTTCATATTAGCTACACAGAATTGACCACCTGGGTAAAATCCATTTTGCCCCATGTCATGTGTCTGATGGTTCCTCTGCTTTAGGGCTTATTCCCATCATGTGCTGAGCCCTCTCATACGGAGCCTGCAAAGCTAGCAAGAACGTGCTTATCCAATGAGGGAGACCAACTCAAATGCTTTAAATTAAGCACCTATTCAAATGATTTCCTTATCAAAGCCAAAGTTATTGGTTCTTGGGTAATCACTTTGGACAAGCAATAAGTGGCATTTTAAATAGTGTTCTGTAAAGATAACCCAGTGCAATTAAACCAGTGTTTATATGTGATTTGTGAAGAATATGAAAATAAAAGTCTTATTCTGCAATATATTTTATATCATGTTTTGCAGCCTCAAATATTCTCTATTTTTAAAAATGTCATTTGGCTGATAACAAAGGGGGCATCTTTTCTTTTTTTTTTTTTTTTTTCTGGTTCTAAAAGCATGCTGCATCTCCACAACATGGGATCTCCTGGACCTCTCATTATACACTTCAGTGTGAATCTCCTTCATAAAGACATTCTTGTCTGGCAAAATGCCTTGTTCAGAAGTTAAAAGTTGGGCCACTACTAGCTGAGACACTTAAATGTAAAAATGTGCCATCCACGCATATCTAGGTTCCTCTGATATTGTCCATTGTGTATTACATGTGTGGCATGATCGTTACTGCTTGATACCTTTCCTTGACAAAATGACCTATCAATCTAGAAGAAGAGTTTCTGCAGCAAATGTACACCTCTCCCACTTTGCAATTACAGCTCAACTTCTAACAGTATTTGGCACAATTCTTTAGTAAATCAATATCATAATTTCAGGAGCTAGTAAAAAACATGTAAGGTAAAGCACTGCATTAAAGGTATACTACCAAACTCTTTGTTTTGTTATTATTATTTTTTAAACAAATAACCAGAGATTAAAGGTTTGCAAAGTAAAAAAAGTGCTTAAAGAAATACTTACACTCTCGCTCTGAAAAGGGTTTAGGAAGTTTCCGCCCATCTCACTGTCATCCCTGGGAGTTCCAGGCTGATTACTCATGCTCATATTACTGGGAGAGTTCTGTTAAACAAGATTTTAAAATACAGATTTCAGCTCTTTTCCCAGTTTTACCAAGTGTGTCAAAGTATTAGAGTGTGTCCATATAATGCACTGGGATTTCTGAAGATGAAAGATAAACCTCTGCAGAGTTCTGTACGTTTTAATTATTAATTTTAACCTGCATTTTCTCTCCTGAAATAACAACCATTTACCTTTAATTCTTGCTTTCAGATAGCCAGCATCATCTTCTACTGCATTCAGGAAAAATTACAAATGGCTTTGTAGGAATAACAGTTAGCTCTCTAACTACATTAAATCACTACAGTTAAATTCAGGAAAGAACACCAGCATGTGTCTTGACATATGTGATTCTGGATTATGTTCTTAAAGGTAGACAAGTGAACAGATCCAGGCCACATGGACCTTTGCAAATCAAGATCTCCATTTGGAGTCTTTGTTCATGGTGTCTGCTTTGTTGAAATAGCTTCTAACTCAAATTTTGAGTTGCTAAATCACCAAAAGCAGTTATACACAGAATCTATAGATAAAAGAGTTAACAGAATTTTAAGATAAAAGATGCCTGAATAGCAGCCAGCCACTGGACTAGGTTTGCTATTTGCTTGCACAGAGCATAAGGCAGTAGGGTCTTAATTTACTTTTCGAGTGTTGAGGTGCTATAAATTGCTAATAAATAATGACAATAAGAAGTCTTACAAAGAAAAATTCTTTTCTGCTCCTGCACTACCACCTCTACAATGTTCAAAAATATTTTCACAATTCAGATAGAGAAAGAGCAAAATAATTCATAGCATCATAGAATCATTAAGGTTGGAAGGGACCTCTAGAGGTCATCTAGTCCAGCTCCCCTGCACATGCAGGGTCACCTAGAGCACGTGGCACAGGACGGCTTCAAGCGGGTTTTGAAGATCTCTAGAGAAGGAGACTCCACAACTTCTCTGCGCAGCCTGTTCCAGTGCTCTGTCACCCTCACTGTTAAAAAATTTTTCCTTAAGTTCCTGTGGAACTTTTGATGCTTTAGTTTCTGGTTGTTTCCTCTAGTTCTGTCAGTGGCCACCACTGAAAAGAGGCCAGCACCATCCTCCTCACTCCCTCCCTTGAGGTACTTATAGACACTGGCAGGATCACCTCCCTTGACCTGCTGGAGACCTTCTTCTTAATGCACCCCAGGATCTCATTGGCATTCTTGGCCACGAGAGCACACTGCTGCCTCATGGTCACCTTGTCGTCCACCATGACGCCCAGGTCTTTCTCTGCAGAGCTGCTCTCCAGAAGGTCAGTCCCCAGCCTGTAATGGTGTCTGGGGTTATTCCTCCCCAGGTGCAGGACCTTGCACTTGGCCTTGTTGAATTTCATG